GCGCGAACGCTCGCCTTCACCAATGAAAACAAGGTTAGAACTCAGAGAGGCTAGCACCACTAGCTCAACTGGTAAAAGACGACAATTGGGAGAGGGGGTGAGAACACTCGCCTTCACCAATTAAAACAAGTGAAAACTCAGAGAGGCTAGCACCACTAGCTCAGCTGGTAAGAGGACAATTGGGAGAGGGGGTGAGAACACTCGCCTTCACCAAATAAAACAAGGTTAGAACTCAGAGAGGCTAGCACCACTAGCTCAGCTGGTAAGAGGACAATTGGGAGAGGGGGTGAGAACGCTCGCCTTCACCAATGAAAACAAGGTTAGAACTCAGAGAAGCTAGCACCACTAGCTCAACTGGTAAAAGACGACAATTGGGAGAGGGGGTGAGAACACTCGCCTTCACCAATTAAAACAAAGTGAAAACTCAGAGAGGCTAGCACCACTAGCTCAGCTGGTAAGAGGACAATTGGGAGAGGGGGTGAGAACACTCGCCTTCACCAAATAAAACAAGGCCAGAAACTCAGCTGGCTACGTAATAAACAAACTTCGGAGCACGGTCCAACCGACCACGCGGTTGGAGGCCTCCAGTAAACAAGAGCGGAGCGAACGCTACCGTTAACCAAATAGCAAAATATAAGCAAAAAACCACTACTTACCAGTGTTAAATCACACACATAGTAGTCATAAACAACGTCGGAGCACAGTCCAGCCGACCACGCGGTTGGAGGTCTCCTAACAAGCGTGAGCGGAGCGAACGCTACCGCTAACCAACGGCGAAATATAAGGAAAACTACTCACCGGTGTTGAATCACACACATAGTAGTCAGACGCTGTAAGTTGGGAGAGGCGGAAACAGCCGTAGTTCCCAACGAAACAGCAGAAATACCTTTGAACAGGGTTAAACCGTCGCAGCCCTAGGAGGGCGAACACGCTACTCCCGCAGACGGGCAGTCGGGCTTCCGACGACGGTAAAAAGTTCAGAAAAGGTCCAAAGGGCTGAAGCGAACCGCGCGCGAGAAGAAAATAGGAGCAGAGCAGCGGATGACGTCGGGCTATATAGCCTCTGATTGGTCATCCGTGTCACACCTGTGACTCCGTTGGTATTATTACTCGAATCAGCGCATGCGCGAAGGGAACATTCAGTGCTTTCAGCACCGCCCTCTGGCGGTCAGGAGGGATGAAATAGAACTCCCTTTAACAGGAAGAAACCTCCAGAAGAACCAACTCAGGACGAGCGGCCATCTTCTTCAACCGGCTGGGTTTAAGAGGACAGGAAGTAGAAACAGACAAACACAGAACGACAGGTCCATGTGAACGTTATATAGTCCAGGTGTAGTTTCTGTAGTCCAGGTGTAGTTTCTATAGGAGGAAAGTCTAAAAACATGTTAAGATAGAAATAATTACAAACAGGTAGAGTAAGTAAAGACAGCAGCAGAGAGAGGACATGTGGTCAGTTTGTCCTCCAGCAGTCTAAGCCTACAGCAGCATGACTAAGATGGCTCAGGAAACCCAAGCCGACCCTAACTACAGGAACTGTTCATGCTGCTTTATCAGGTCCTTGTCAGCCGTCCAGGCCCTGTACTTGGATAAAAACCACATTCTGCAGCATCAAACACCCAGCCTGATGTAGGGCAACCACGTGACTCAAACTTCCCCACACAGCGAGGAAAACAAGTATTTGAACACCTGTGACTTTGCAAGTTCTCCCACTTAGAAATCATGGAGGGTCTGAACTTTTCATCTTAGGTGCATGTCCACTGAGAGACAATCTAAAAAAAACTAGTTTGGAAATCACAATGTATGATTTTTTAAAATTAATTTGTGTGTTACTGCTGCAGATAAATATTTGAACACCTGTGAACATCAATGTTAATATTTGGTGCAGTAGTCTTTGTTTGCAGTGACAGAGGTCAAAGGTTCCCTGTAGTTCTTCACCAGGTTCCCTGCAGCAGAGATTCTGGTCCAGTCCTCCACAGATCTTCTCTACATCAGCCAGGTTTCTGGGCTGTCGCTGAGAAACACGGAGTTTGAGCTCCCTCCAAAGATTTTCTATAGGGTTCAGGTCTGGAGACTGGCTGGGCCACTCCAGAACCTTGATATGCTTCTTACAGAGCCACTCCTTGGTTCTCCTGGCTGTGGGCCGGGTCATTGTCATGTTGGAAGAACCAGCCACGACCCATCTTCAATGATCTAACTGAAGTGAGTGGAATTAAGACCAAAAAGTTCTATTCTGGTCTCATGTGACCACAGAACTTTCTCCCATGACTCCTCTGGATCATCAAATGGTCAAACTTCAGACGGGCCTGGACGTGCGCTGATTTAAGCAGGGGAACCTTCGTGCCGTGCATGATTTTAAACTATGACGTCTTAGTGTATTACCCACAGTAACCATGGAAACAGTGGTGCCAGCTCTCTTCAGGTCATGGACCAGCTCCTCCGTGTAGTTCTGGACTGATTCCTCACCTTTCTTAGGATCATCGATACTCCACCAGGTGAGATCTTGCATGGAGCCCCAGTCCCAGGGAGATGGACGGTCGTGTTTAGCTTCTTCTATTTTCTAATAGTTGCTCCAACAGTTGATCTTTTTTCACCAAGCTGCTTGACAGTTGCCCCGTAGATCTTTCCAGCCTTGTGGAGGTCTACAAGTTTGTCTCTGGTGTGTTTGGACAGCTCTTTGGTCTTAGCCATGTTAGTAGTTGGAGTATTACTGACTGTGTGGGGTGGACCGGTGTCTTCATGCAGCTAACCACCTCAAACAGGTGCTTCTGATTTAGAATAATAAGTGGAGGTGGACTAACGGGTCTTTGAGGACCAGAACTGTTGCTGACTGGCAGGTGCTCAAATACTTATTTGCAGCAGTAACACACTAATAAATTATTTAAAAATCATACATTTTGATTTCTGGATTTTTTTTTTAATATTTTGCCTCTCACAGTGATTGTGATTTCTGGATTATTATTATTATTTTTTTTATATTAAGTCTCTCAGTGGACATGCACCTAAGATGAAAAGTTCAGACCCTCCATGATTTCTAAGTGGGAGAACTTGCAAAGTCGCAGGTGTTCAAATATTCATCTTCCTCACTGTAGTTTCCCATGTACTCAGCCAACTGCTTTGTTTATGTTAAATACGTACCCTCAGTTCAATGAGTTTGGAAAAGTACTGGAGTAAACTCAAATGGCACCACTTGATTGTAGTTCAGAATAACTTTTTAGGTTTGATGTCCTACTTTGTAATGAGTGAGCACTTTAGAGTCTCATCATTTTCTCTTCTGTTTATTCTAAATATTAATTTTTAAATCCTCTCAGGTGTCAAAACTCTGCCGTGTTTTATTTCCAGTCACGTCTCACTCCGGTTGTCTCACCCTCACAGTAAGATCCTGATCAGCAAACAGAAGATTATCGACTTGTTTCCAAAAATCGAGAAGACCCTGGAGAGCATCAAAGACGCCGACAACACGGTGATGCAGATGCAGATCAAGAGGCAGAAGGAGTTCTGGCATTTACTCAAGATCGCTTGTGTGAGTGGATTTTAATCATCTGAAGTTTTGCATTGATGGACAACACGTTTACTTCCTGGAGGTTCCAAGTGAAGATTTGCAGTCGCCAACAGCTGCAGCCCAGTGAGACACGAGCTCTTCGTTCTTCGTTTAGTTCATGATGCAGAACAGAATTTAAAATCTGTTTTCCTCTTCCCGCTGTTTGAATATGGAGTCTGTGTCTGAAGGTCCTCGTTGTGCAGCTGCACCCTCACACCACCAGGTGGTCCTGGTCCACTCCTGGCTTTTTAAATCTACATATCTGGTGTTCTTTTATTAATCCAGCTGATTATTGATTAGCAGTGGCATTAATTAATTATTTGCCTGAGAGCTCATTTTATACTAAAAACAACGAGCTGTATTTTTATCTCAGGAGAAACCTCGTGGTCTGCTGAACCCGAGCTATAAAACATGACCTTTGACCTTCTGAGTGTCTCTCAAAGCAGGGGCGTCTGTCTTTATTGTCCCCTGTTGGACAGTTGACATGTTCACCTGTCCTCACCTGTCCCCTCGTTCAGGCCCAGAACTCGTCCCGGAGCTCGATGGCGGCGAGTCCGGAGTCCAACCTGCTGCAGGTCTCTCACTGGTCGCAGTCGGCGCAGCCCGTCAGCTCCCCCCATCCCCTGACCTCCTTACCTGGGCCCAACGACAGGTAACGTTTTCACTCCTCCCTTCACAGAACCACCTGAGTAACAGAAATTAATCACCGCCTTCAAAATAAAATGCAGCCGTTTGTGTCTAATTTTCTCAGATTTTTATGATTTTTTTATATTTTTTCTAATTTTCAATGAGTGTCCTGCTGCTGGATCACTTCCCGCCTTCTCGTTGTGATTTCTCCACATGAAGGGAGGTCTGCGGCCTGAATCGATGCTAACCGTCTGTTTGTTTCCTTCAGTGACGCGGCTCCTCGGCTGCTGCAGGAGAACCAGAGGTACCTCAGTCAGCTGACCAGCCTGATGCAGGAGACGGCCGACGAGCAGGCCAAGAGCGTCGTGGTGAGTTCAGGCACCCCCTCATTTATGAGCTCTGCAGGATTTATTTATTTAAATTCAGGAAAAGAAATCTAAAGATTTAACTGAACTTTTATGCAAAATCTGATGAACTTCCTGCACAAAAGAGAGAATAAAAGTCTTCGTTTTGATTTGTTTGATCATTTATAAACAAACAAAACTATTATGAATTCAAATGAACAAAACGGATTAAAAAGCTGCACATTTTAAGATGATTTAAATTAATTTCAGTAAAATCAAAGTAAAAAATCTTGAGTTATTTTTATAAATCGAGCCCTTCGTTGGTTTTCTTCACAGTTTTAAAGATTAAATGATTTCAAGTTTCTCGAAAGTGAAAACCGAATCAAACGGCGCTAAAACCTTAAAGTTTTAACGTCTGGACTAAAAAAATACATATTTGTCATAAAATAATAACGTGGTCGTAAAGCCTTTTCGGTTCCTGGAGTTAAAGCAAGAAATAAATAACGATATAAACTTAATTTAAGAGTTTTAACCAAAAAAATACATGTAAAATAAACCAGAAGATAAAAGTAGTTTCCAAACCCTGAATTCAAAAACAGGAAAAATATGACGCAGAGATAAATTTAACGCACATGCACCAAACAAAAGTCTAGTTTTTAAAATGAGTCAAAGTTTTTCTTCCAGAAATAATCAAAATAATTTCCATGAAAGAATGATGAGAGCAAACTTTAAGAATATAAATACTTAAATTAAACTAATGTGGTTAGAAAAGAGAATTAAACTTGTTTGAACTTGAAGGGAGTTAAATATTTCTGCAACATATACAATGAAGAAAATAACATTTAGGTGTTTATCTGCCACAGAACTCACTTTAAAATGAAACTAAACTTTGTTTAAAACACTTTCACATTCTGACAAACACGTCGATTGTTGCATAATTTTAAAATTTAACACTAAACTGGAGAAGAATTCTTCTGAGTCTTTTAAAAGTATTTATTTATGTCCACTCGGATGAAACCGAAGCGATGCAGATATTTATTAATATTTTCAAGAATCCCAGTTGGAAATAATAAACACCGAGTTAGAGAAAACATAAAAAATAATGTCAGTTTATCAAATATTTAATTATGGCTCATTTATTTATTTAATAATAAAATCAACCCCCCCACAGAAACTGTTTGTCCACTTGAGATTTGAGGGGGAAGGTAAAGTCACGTTGGTTTAAAAACATAAAAAAAGAAAAATCATTGTTTTTTGTTTCTTCTCTAAAGGACCAAGACTGGAGCTGGACCAAATACGAAACTTTAACGACAAAACTAAAAAAGCGAAACGCCTAAAGGCTCCGCCCCCTCCCCGGCTTTTTGTCCTCCTTTCTGACGCGCTCTCCGGTAACACTAAGGACTGTCGCTCGTTTGTACAGATTTGTACCCAGGACTTCCTGTTAAAACGGACTCCTGCTCCCATCGTCCCACGGGGGGAGGGGGGTGTCCCAAACCTGTTTTTTTACCAGAACACGAGGAAGCCGCCTCCTTTTCACGACGTTCATCTTCATCGGTTCGTCTTCACTGTAACGTCGAGCAAACTGTAGCGCCGCGCCCACGGGAGGAGCAGGAACACGGGAGCTCCAGGACGTCGAGAGGAAACAGGAAGTGGGTCGGGGGTGGAGGAGGAAGATGAAACCAAGCAAACTGCACTTTGATGCTCCCATGTAGCCTCTGAAGAGCCGAACCGAGCTGCCGCAGGAACCCCCGCTCACCTTCAGCTGCTAGAGTCAGCACAAACCTAAATGTTTTTAAATATTAATGTTATTCATCGTCGTCATACGTGCCTTGAACATGGCTGGCCATTGTGTGTGTGCGTCGTCGTCACCGTACACGGCGCCGTTTGTTGCGGGGTGGAGGGTCCGAGCTGCCGTCGCCTCGAGTTTAAAGACGTCGTGTTTACGAGTCGCCGCTGGATCGAAAGAAACGGAACGAGCCGAGGGCGAACGAGAAACTAAAGGATTCAGAAAAGATCGAGTCGCTTCAGTTTTAGGTTTTTAAGTTTTTCTTCCTTATTTTTATAAATAATAATAAAACAAATGAAGTTATTTTGAGAATATGACGGAGCTTTAGGGCCACGCTAAGAAAAAATAAATTTAAAGCCATAAAATTACGAGAATAAAGTCAAGCGAGACTTTTTTTTTCTTTCAGCTCTCGTGTTTATTTATTTATTTATTTTTCCACAAGTTGGATCCACGACGTGACCTGTCAATCAACCCAGTAGGCGTGTCAGCAAATGACCAACCGAGTCGTAATATCATCCCAACTCCGACACATGAAGCAGGTTTACCACATTTTAACTGGTAAGATGAAGAATGTTGAGCGTCTTAAGTTATACTGTGGTACTGGTTTTACAAATGAGGAGATGGTTAATCTGTTAGCACATCAGATTATCAGCATCAGATTATTATCAGGACTTTGAACCTGCGTACAGTAAGGTGGTTCGCTCTGATGGGCTGCAGCGCAGCTCTGCAGGTAACGAGCTTTTAGCTTCAAATTGGTCATTTGCTGACACGCCTACTGGATTGATTGACAGGTCGCATCGTGGATCCGACTCGTGGAAAATTTAAAAAAATAAAAGAGCTGTTAAAAAAAAAAAAAAGTATCGTACAACTTTATCGTAATAATTTATTTGACTTTATTCTCATAATTTTATGGCTTTTTATTATTTGTTTATTTTTCTTATTGTGGCTCTAAAGCTCCGTCGTAGTCGGCAGACATTTTACTGCCAATAATAAAACAAATGAAAACATTATTTCAGGTTCTGAGTGATTGTAAAACATATTTCTGCTGTTTTTATAAAATAAGAACTCGGGCCTAACAAAGAGCCAGTTTTAGTCGATGATTACCAAAATTAATGTCAGGAAAAAGGTCATAATTTGACACATTACAGGAACAAATACAACGTATAAACACCAAAACAGACACATCAATAACATTATTTATTTATTGTGATTTATTAATTTCATCACAAATCAACACCCTGAATAACAATCCAGACCAAACGGTTAATCATTAATAGAACACAAAACAATAATAAATGTGTTTCACATCAGAGTCTCTGTTTCTGTAACGAGGTGACGTCAGATTCCTGAAATCTGTTCTTGTTTATCTGTTTTTGGTTTTGTTGCTCCGTTCGTGTTAAAATCAAAGATTCACAAGAAAATTTAAACTTGATTTTTCTCAGCTTCAAAAGCAGCGTAAAAAAAACAAACTCAGATTTGAAGCAAGATGAGAAAAATTCTGTTAATCTGTTGCTGGTTGGAGGGCCGTAAAAGAGCACGAGGGGGGCCCTGTGTGGCCCACGGGCCTTCAGTTTGGTGGAGGGCTCAAAATAAGAGAGCAAACGTTTTCAGGGATTTTAAGATTAATATATTTAAATTGGTCTTTAAAATAAAAATCTGGTTTGTTTTCTTAACCAACTCTTAATCCAAACGTCAGATTATCTGAGCTTTTCGTTTTAATCCCAATCTGGTGATTATTATCCAAACATTACTGAAACGGTTGAATTAGTTGAACGGTCACTCAGAGCCTAAAGTGACGTCACAGATAATTTAACTAAAACTCTGAAATGAAACTGAATATTTGGCGTTTGTTTCTCTGGATTAGACGATAAAATCTGATCCATTTATTGGCTCGTTTTAATCTCGTTCCATCCCATAATGAGTTTCCTTGGTGACGTAAGACTCAATGGTTTTGATGGAAGCGGGAGAAAGGCGCTCCGATGTATTTATGAAGTTCAAGTGCAATGGCTAATCTGTTTGTTTTGTTTGTATTTAATAATTCAGATTATTTTACGTTGAATATTGTTTCCATCTGCTGGTCTGAATCTGTTTCATTTTTAGAGCTCACTCTACGGATGTTGATCACGGAATAAAATAAATGATCTCTCTGTTTTCTTCTCCACGCTTCGGCTCACTTTCTCTTTCACGTGTTAAAAACGACACGTGTGAACAAAGATCGACTCGTTACCTGGAGTCTTGTCCAATTTCTCACCAGATTAAAAAATTAAAAACCTCCCTGCTCTTCTCCAGAGTAGCTCCTCCCCACTTGAATATCTCGCACCAAAAACATTTAGGTTTGCTTCATTCTCTGCTCAGGTCCAGTCCAGCTGGAAGGTGATTTATTGATCGGGTAGCGATCAGTAACGGTCCGATCGAAGCTCGGTCAGAACCTGTGGTGCTCCTCTCATCAGCTTCCTGAGGTCCAGACCGAAACACTCGGAGCTGAGACGAGTCTGTGGTTTTTCTTTAGACCGAAGCTCTTTGTTGATGATCAGCAGCTCAGTCCGGCCGTGGACACCGGCGGGACTTCCTGTGCTCTGAAACAGCTGAACGTCATGACTCGGAGCTCTAGTTCATCCTGAGGACACGATGGAACCACTCGGCCACAGATGACCGTGTTCACTCCTTCCTCCCGTTGAAGAGCGTCCCGTCTCTGCAGAGTCCGGCCGGCGCTCGGACGTTTCAGGAAGTGACCCGTCTGGAAGCAGATAAAGTCTCGTATCTGCTCGCGCTGAAGCTTCCACAGCTAACGGGGTTTCTTTCAGAAACGAGTTGAGCTGCGACCGTCAGGACGAGCCTCGGAGTTCTAAATGTTTAATTACCGGTTTGTGACTCAAACCAGCGTCCTGATCCTCGGAGCTCGAAATCGACCTGCTTCTGCAAACTACACGATTTAACGGTTCATCGAAACGTCCGCTCGAGCGGGACCGGAGTTTGTAACTTTACATTTGAGCTGATGGATCTTTCAGAAACAACAAACTCTGCTTCAGCTGCTGGTACTTTTAGCCCCTTACAGCTCCTTTTAGCTTTTAGCTACACTCCTGCAACGTTTTAGCTTTCAGCTACAATTTACTTTTAGCAAAAGTTGCTATTTTTAAATCTTTTTGCTGTTTTACTCATTTTAGTTTTTACAGTTTAGGCTTTTAATAAATTTGTTAGCTATGTTATCAATTTAGCTAATTTTAGCTTTTAATGGTTTTGCTGGCTTGAGTTTTTAGCTACTGTTTTCAATTTAGACTTCTAGCTACGGTCATCTCATTAGGGCTTTAATATAGTCTTGCTCTTTTTAGCTTTTAGCTGCCGTTCTGCTCATTTGACCTTGTTTTGGTTGCTGTAATCTGAAACTTTCAGCTGATTCAACAAACGGCTTCATTCTCATAAAATAAAGACGTGAACATTCTGGAGGTGAAACTTTTTATAAATCAGTTTCTTAAAAATCGGTTGTTCACGTTTCTCTGATCCGTTAAAGATTCACGAGCAGCAAAAACTAAAAACCGTCGGCGTGAATCCGACTCACGTTTGTTTTTATCTGGGCCATAAAATCCAAACCAGCCGAAGTTCTGACTGAACAGAAGTCGTTTTCTTGTTTTCATCGTCTCTTCCTGCGTCTGTCCTGATGAAAACAAACTTTATGGGGTTTGTTCGTAAATTAAATGTTTATTTTTGCACAAACGATCCGATTGTTTCCCTCCTGAAAGTCATTTTCACATTAACGCCCTAAAGAAACGGAGTTCTCTGTGAGCCTGAGCCGGTCCGGTCCGCAGGCGGCTCGGTTCTGGAACAAAGAGCGCCGGCAGAAAAACTGTCAGATTATTTCCTCCCTCCTTAATTTGCATAATCTGATGCTGGAACACGTCAACGCCAACAGTTTCTACATTCAGTCTGTCGGGAGAATACATTTGTTTTTAAACGCGTCTGTTTTAAATAAAGTTTCTGAGCTCGGCCTCTGGTCCTGACGGCACCAAATGAAGCGCCTCAAGTACAAAAACAGGTTTAGTAAAAACAACAACAAACCACTTTGGCTTCAGAAAAACACCCATCAGGATAAAAACATCACTTATGTACATGTTTGTACTTTTACCAACACGTATGTAAAAGTACGGTTCTTGTGGAATATTTGGATTATTTGTCACCTCCAGTCGTTTTGGTTGGATTAGCCAATATTCGGTTGGAAAGTCCATCGATTATTTTCTGAGGGTCATTAAAATCTGTTCAGTGGTTCATGACATATTTTGCTAACAGGCAAACGCACGCATGCACTTACATGATTGCCCGCATTTTATGGCGGCATGTGATTTTAATTAAAACAATTTTAAAAGCTTTTTTAATTAAAAAAAAAAACACTGCAGCGCCGACTACGTTATGAGCGACGTGCTTTGTTGTTACCCGCCATCATGAAGACGGGCAATCATGTAACTTTGTGTTTATCAACAAAACTCTGAATCAAGATGGCCGCCACTGGCCACAACTCGGTCTGTTGTACAAATACTGAGCTCACATAAGGTGTGGTAGTAGCTGAGAGTGCTAATGGACTGCACAAGAACGTCGTTCTAAACTTGAGCACACGAGGTGGCCGATGATGTGCATTCCTCCAAGGATGCTGGTGTCGTCATGGCAGGAGAGATTAAACAAGGAAACAAAATAACTCCACAAGTTTGGGATTCATTTGACAAAAGATGAGCAGAAATAAGAGACGGCACGTTATCAGTTAGCATCCAGCTAAAGAACCGAGTCGGACTGATCCACCGTGGAACCAACACCAGTGTGTTGGACCAGTCTGACTCTTTAAAGGCTGATTTCACACAGTGTCAAGTTTAGACTTATTTAAATACAGAACAGCCAAATGTAAAACATCAAACTGGCCTTCGGCTGTTTCGGCTGCTGAGCATCGACCGTAGACACAGTAAGGTTGTGCAGCTGAACACAGGAACAAATCGGCTGCTCTCGGGTCAGAACACCTGGTTCTTCCTCAGGCCTGCTGACGCCTCGGAGCTTCATGTGGGTCTGTGAAGTCCAGGCCTCGCTGGGCGCCGGGGGGGAGGGGGGGTGGGTTTGGTCCTGGGAACAGGTGGAGGTCCGGCTTTGACTCCTTGGATCTGAAAAAAGAACGACTTTAAAAGCTTCTCCGAGTCCACAGTTTGACGTTCTTAAAAACGAGCGTGGTTCAGGTTGAGCTTCAGACTCGTTCCATGTTCAGCATCTTTTTATGGAACTGATGAATTGTTCTTCCTGTTCAGGACAAAAACTTGACACGTTTAAAACCATCAGAAAAAACTGAGAGAAAAACATTTAATTAAAATTTACTTTACAATTTTTACTTTTTGAAGTATTTAGCTTTGTCGGCCATGTTTTTCTCTGAGACTGAATGGAGCTCTGGTCACATCCTTCAAACCTTCAGCTGTTTACAACCTTTACTGCGTTTCAGCTCATCGTCTGCTAAAATCAGCTTTTTTCTGCTCTTTCCAGCTACGTGTTAGATATTTCCCTGATAATTTTAGCCTTTTTTCTGCCTTTTTTAAGATTATTTGGGCGTTTTGTGCATCTTTCTAATATCAGTAATTCAAACGTTTTTCTCTCCTTTCAGCTTCTTTCTGCTAATTTCAGTTTTTTTTTTTCTTTTTCAGCTACTTTCTTGTTTTTGCTAATCTCAGATTGTCGTCTGATCATTCCAGCTGTTTTTCTGCTGCTTTCAGTAAATGTCGACTGCTCGTATTAACAGTTTAGTGATGAAACCTTTTCAGCTGGTTTTAGCGCCTTCGGCTGCTTCAGCTGAAATGAGTCGGCAGCGAACGTTCACGCTGAGTTTACAGGAAGTGACATTTCATCAGATTATTTAACTTCCTGTTTCTTCTCCTAGATCACCTTTTCTCACATTACAGGATTAAAAAGCCACTTCGTGACCTGAAAATATCTCGGAACAAACATCACGGTGATCCGCTCAGTCGTTGTTGTTTACAGTAACTCAACCCAGTAAACAACAACAAGCTTTTTATTTATATTTAGCTCTAAAATACAAAGTTCAAACGGTGTCAGTGGTTTTGAGTCGGCAGGAAGTTTTACCTGCTGGGTTTCGGGGGCTGATGGTCCTGCAGCCGGTGCCTGGGGGGGCTGGAGGGGACCAGGAGCTTGGTGGTTCAAACTGTTTGGACTTGGACGAGCCGGGTCTACCTGAGGAGCCACGACCAGAAGGCTGCAGGCCTGAGAGGCTGTGGACTCCAGCAGAGTCGGCCGGCTGATCTCAGGTCTGTCTCTGAACACCGGGTTCAGTTTCCTGGGAGCTGACTTCACCTTCCTGTCGACAGACGTGAGTCAGCCGGGGGGGCCACGGATACTAAATGATCTGGACAGAAGAAACGGACCTTCTGCGGGTGGAGCTGCTCCTCCTGCAGCGCATCAGGCCTGCAGTTACCATGACGACCACCAGGAGGCAGGAGGACGCCGCGCACGCCGCCGCCGCCGTCACGTTCGGACCTGCAGAACCAGGTGGAAGAATGCACTTTGTTAGAACTTGAGTGGTTTTGCTTCATTCTAAACTCGACTCGGCCGATTACAGATCAGACCAACAGCTGCTGTGAAGATACGACTCGGCTCTTTTATGAGTTTTTATGACTCGAAACGTCCGAAACACGAGAGATGAACAAACACGACCTTTACACCAGCAAATTAAACATTTGATCAGATTCTGGATCATCTTCAAGTTATTTCCTCACTTTGTTTCTGTAGAGACATTTCACAACTTGAAGTTTACCGTTTTTTACAGTGTATACCGGTATATGTATACCAGTGTTTACCGGTGCATCGCAGTAATCCCTCGCTACTTCACGGTTCGTTTATCGCGGGTTTTCAAAGTAACAATGGACAAGACACAATTGGCTGATTGATGGACGAGCCTTGGGTTGTTTATTTAAATTTTAAATAATTTTACACCATGTGTGCAGCCCACAAGTGGAAGGGAAAGCTCCCTCCTGCAGCTGATCAGCTGATCTCCTTCTCTGCCACACACATTTCTCCTGCTGCAGCTTTGTGAAGGTTAACCCTTTGCTGTCCAGATGCACCGATAGACCTTTGTCTTCCAACTTAAAATTCAAAGTTTGTCACATGGTAAAATTGTCATAATCACAAAATGTATAAGTGTTAAGAGTTATTTTTTATTATTTTAGGACTTCTATGTTCAGTTGTTTCAGTGTCATTGATCAAGAACATTTCTGCTCCGTGCTGCAGAGCTGTGTGACTTCCTATGATGTCCTGCTGCTCTTCTCTTCTCTACAGTTTAAATTTAAATACTGTAACATTGTTTCTTTAAAATGTTACAGTATTTAAATTCAAATTGTTTTATTTAAGGTGAGTTTGGGAGTAACAGGAGATGAGTGTGATTGCATCATGACAAAGTTTACTGAACTTAAACTACTGTATCTCTACTTTGCAGTTTTTCACACCCGCAATAAAAAAAAATTATATATATATATATATATATATATATAATCTGAATTATATTTATGTCTCTTTCTGGAGAGATGTCTCCTGGAGCAGCTGTGACCCGTTTTTTTTTTTTGTTGTTGTTTTTTTAATCTGTAAATGAGTTTTCCCGGAGGACTCGGGAGTAAAACACTTATTAGAGGAGCACTGGATGTTTGTGTGAACGGTTAAACCGAGACCCTAAAGGCTCTTTTGAGTTTTTAAGATTAAATTAGAATATCTGCGTACCTGGTGGAGGTACACCTGTGTACTTGGTGCTGCAGTTCGGTGGAGCCCAGCCCGGATCGCAGTGACACCGATTCCTGTGGTCACACACCTGAGAGGAAAAACAACAAAGCCTTGGCCGGACGGCAGACAGAACCCAACAAACGCGTCATGTTTAATAAATATTAGTGTTTGAGTTACAGTGAGACGTCCTGTTACAGGGTTGAACATTGTCAGACCCGTGACGTGGAGTCCAAACACTGCTGGTTCCTGCGTGAAGCGAGTGGTAGAAGCCCGACAGAACAAACTACAGTGAGGATAAAACCGATCTTACGCCGTTGTTGCTGCATTTCTTTGCACAATCTTCCTTGTTGCCGTAAACGGAAACATCCACACATCTGCTGCCGAGGCAAACCTGCGCACGTTTCATCCAGAACAGAAAAAATTAAACACAAATTTAACATGGACTTCAGGAAGACGTCTCCGCCGGCTTTTTACATTACTGGGTCCACATTTGGTTCCGTTGGGCACCATGTCGATGCTTCTGGTTCTGTCGTTCTCCACCGTCAGCTTGCACTCGAGGCCGAAGACGGTGTAGCCGGCCCGTTTACCGGTGATGGACTCGCCTCCTCCCACACAGAACGTGGACCCGCACTTCACATCCCTGCAGAGAAACGAGCTGAGATCAGCGTGCACGACTCGAGCACGGTTGGAGCACGCAGAAACGTACGCAGCAGCACACGGGACGAAGCCGGACTGGTCCCTCCCACAGTTGGCGCCCTCCTCGCCTCGTTTGTTCAGGTTGAAACAGAGATCCGGTCCGACTGCGGCCCCTGCAGGAAACAACAGATTCACTCCTGCTGCCGTGAAACGTCAGAACGTTTTTATAGTTTTTATAGTTTCAGATGAAAATTTAATTATTTGTAACTTTAACTAACTGTAATTTTGTACCGTCATTAGCTGTGGCGGCCATCTTGAATGGGACTGATCAGCTGTTGAGGTACAGCTAATGATTATTTTCTGAGTTTCATTCAAATTCGTCCAGTGGGTCATGAGATATTTTGCTAACAGCATGATTTGCCTTCGTGTTGTGCGCCGGGTGACAGACGTAGAGGAAACGAACTGAAGCCTCGACAAAGCTGCAGATTCTGCTCTGATCGAACGTGGACTCGGACTTTCGGAGGCGTCGGATGGTTCTGCCCGGGTTCTCCAGCTCAGACGGGTTTTAATCGGACCTGCGGTGTGCCGGACCTACCGTCTCCAAACAGCCTCCAGCAGTGCTGCTCCCGTGTGGGACAGCGGCCGTCGTAGCAGAAGCCCGGCGCCTGGTTGGAGCAGGGCAGTCCGTTCATCTGGAAGCTGTCCTCCGGACACTCCGGTGATTCTCCGGTGCAGTGTTCAGGCAGGTCGCAGACACCGGAGGACTTCCTGCACACGCTGCCCGATGCTCTGATCTGTGGGTTCAAGACACGCCTCACAGTTATTTTATTTCTTCAATCATCTTTAAGTTTGACGTTTATAAATGAGACGGTGCTTCTGTTGAACACTTCCTGTCTTTGAGCTGCAGCTACAGGAAGGAAGTGGCAACAAATTAGCCCGTTTCCTGTTTTTGTTGAAGCGGGTTTGATGTTGAGTGCCGGTGATTAAGAGCTCGGTTTTTTTTATATAAACTGCTGTTTAAAGGTGAGTTCGGTACCTGGCAGCTCTCGCAGCACTGACCCTCGGCACACTGGGCTCCTTCAGTTAGACGGCATGTTGCTGCATCACAGCAGGGACTGGCACATTCCTACAAGTAAATAAAACAAACACTTATTTGGCTTTCGCAAGTTGAAAACAGCCGTGAAGGTTTAAATCTGCCTTCAGCCAGGAATTCCTTCTCTGATGAGACGTGAGCTCACAGGAAAACTATTTCAGATGAGAGCAGCTGCATCTGCTCTGCTGGAGACTTTACCTCCTCCGTGCCGCAGTCGCACTCCTCCCCGGGGTCCAGCAGGGCGTTGCCACAGAGGGGGCCCACGGCGACGGTTCTGACGGAGACGGGTCGGTGCAGGCAGCCGGGCTGAGCGCGCTCCATGAACTCGGAGAGCTGCCGCACGCTGCAGCCGCTGAAAAACTCTGGGAACACCTGACCCCCCAGGCTGACCGAAGGAACACGGAGGGATGCATCGTGTTAATGTACAGTTTGAATAAATGACAAGCACGGGTCATGAATCTACATCCAACTGGTTCCTGCAGCTCACACACTTTAAAATGTCTACTTGCAGACAAATTACAGCTTTGTCCATCTCTGTCGTCTGGAGACATGGAGGCAACAAACCCAGACCTCTCTGCACCTCCTGGAGGATCACGAGGATTTCCCAGACCAAACAGGATCTATAATCCCTCCAGTAAGTTCTGGGTCTGCACTGGGGTCTCTTCTCAGTGGGACATCTCTGTGAAACGTCCAAAAGGAGACGTCCTAATCAGATGCTGACCCACCTCAGCCGACTCCTTTCTATGTGGAGGAGCAGCGGCTCTACTCCAAGCTTCCCCTGGATGACGGCGCACCTCATCCTCTCTTGGCTGCCACCGTACACAGGAAGCTCATTTCAGCCACTTGGACCCAGGATCTGGTTCTTTCAGTCCTGATCCAAACCTCATGAACACAGCTGAGACCAGTAAATCCAGAGATTTGCCTTTACACTCAACTCTTCACTACAAATGACCGAAGCAACACGCTCATTACTTAGAGCAAGGTGTTGAGTATATAACAGTATCTAAAGAGACGTTCCTGTTTATTTTATGTTCAGTCTGCACACGTGTGTTCGGTCTTTTATTTTGAAGGGTGTAATAACGGAGGAAGTGAGCGTACTGAAATGAAAAAGAAATAAAGAGTGGGAACACGACTCGTTGTTCAGCTTCGTGTGACTTAGTTCGCTGTGGCGTCCCCTGAAGAAGGGAGGAGCCGAAAGAAGAAGAAAAAACCACGACTCGTTGTTGACGGGTTGTTTTTTTATCAAGTAACAGAGACTTCAATCCATCGCTCCGTCCTACTGTCACCCAGGAACAAGACGCCCAGACACCTGAACCACCTGACCTCCTCCACCTCACCTCCTCCACTTGAGCTCCTCCACCTGACCTCCTCCACCTGACTGATTCTTTGCTGACCTTTAGCCACATTGTGGTCACCGAGTAGCTGCAGAAACGTTGTCACCCAGGAAATGTTACGTTTGTTTGCAGTCTGTTGTTCTGCAGTGAGCCAGGCCAAATAAAGAGCCATCTTCAGCAACAACCTCCTCCACCCCCACAATAAAACCTACAAATCTCCACGATCAAAAAAAGACTTCCTCTCGGCTGTTTTCAGCTCGGCAGGAAGTCCTGCGCTGCTCTCGTCACACCTCAGACAGAGGCTTCTTACCGGAGCCGCTCGGTCATCACACAGTTGCTGCTGGACGTCGGACCGCACACGCAGCCCGCGGCATCATGGGAGAGCCCAAAGTTATGGCCCATCTCGTGAGCAATGGTGGAGGCGAGGCCCAGCGGGTTTTCTTGGTGATCCTGAAGGAGAGAAAAAGTTCTGACGTTTTAAACTCTGAACATAAAACCCAGTTCGTTTAAAGCCGTGGCACACCCACCTGATTGACGCCCCCGGAGTTCTCGGTGCACATGGCGAACTTGTTGGCCAGTCCCACGGTGTCGTTGTCAAAGATTCTGCCTCTGTGGGAGAGAAGAGTCCAACGTGAGCCCAAAGCTTCAGCTGCACGGACTGAAGATCAGCCGGTCCTCACGTCACAAACTGAGCGTTGTCGTGCTTCGTCTTCTGCAGGAGGTCGGATCTACGCCACGCCAGGAAGTTGTCCAGAGTAGTCTCTGGTTTTGGGTCAACGCTGATGTGGTCTCTGTACGACCAAACCTCCAAACCCACCAGAACGATGCGGATGTTCAGAGAGCGGTACAGCTGCAGGCCGAGAGCGGAGACGTTCAGGAGAGAGCTCCGAGTTTAAACGACAGCAGCTGGAAGCGTTTTACCTTGTCGACGTGATTCACAGCGCCAAGAACACGGGAGCTGGTCTCTTTACCGTACCGCTGGTACTGCAGGAGGAGGAGGAGCATCATCAGAGCTTTGTTGTTTTCTTAGTTTGACGTTATGATTCAAAAAGTCACCTCGGTGTTGTCCGCCACCACGAACAGCTCCACGAACCTCTGAGGACCCGCGAGTCGCTCCGAGTTCTGAAAACAGATTCTCCGGTTTCACTTTACGGAACATGACAAACAACAAGCGGTGTTTAACAAACACTGTTCATGCCCCAAGTTCACCCCAAGGTCAGACCATACAGTCAGAGAACAGACTCTGCAGGTCAAAGGTCAGGACAGGACGGTTAGAAAAAGACCTGAGAAGTTATCAAAAAGTTTTTCTTGTTGCAGAAATCAGATTCTTATCTAGAAAAACTTGTTTCTGCTAAAATACAGAGTTGATGCTGAAGAAGCTGAAGCTGAGTTGTTAAAGCTGAAAGAAGCAAAAGACTAGCTAAAAGCCAGAAAGAGCAGAATATTAGCTAAACAACAAAAGAAGCAAAATCATATCAAAAAGTAGCAAAACTAATTAAAAGTAGCAAGAGGCTACTAGCTAGAAACTCAAAAGTAATGAAGTGTTAGCTGAAAGCAACAAAATGTATCAATAAGCTAACTGGGAAAATAAAAACTGTTTATAAAAGCAGCAAAATGTTAGCTAAATGCTAAAAGAATCTAAAAGTAGAAAAGCTAGAAAGCGCCGAAAATTAGCTAAAAGGCAAAATAAGCAAAAATGCTATCTAAAAGTAGCAAAACTAGTTAAAAGTAGCAAGAGGCTACTAGCTAGAAACATAAAAGTAGTGAAATGTTAGCTGAAAGTTACAACAGGCTAGCTAGAAGCTAATAGTAGCTAAAAGTGGCAAAAGGCTCTGAAAGTAGATGAAGAAATGAAGCCGGCAGATTTCAAGGAGAAAATGTTTTTGAAGGACCCGAAGACATTTCCATTTGTTTGTTTGGAGAAATATTTGTAAATAAAGTAAAACTTAAACGTATAAAACCCAAAAGTCCGAGCACTCATCTCCTGAACGAGCTGAACGTTTTGATGTTAGAACAGCTAAACGAGCAGAAGTGGTTAGAACGCTGACTCAGCTCAAGCAGAAACCCAGATGTTGAAACGCACCCATGATCTGGACTTGAGGAGAGCGGCGGGCTGAGGCATCCGGTCCTGGTCACACGGCGTAGTGGCGCTGGAGGAGGCGGAGCCATAGCCGCCGACCTTCAGCTGCTCCTGTTTATAAACTGCGTGTTCTTCGCGGTCGGTCCGTCCCAGCGGTTGGATCAGGTAGAGCTGCGGGCCGACTCTCAGGAAGCCGCTGCGCTCCGACAGCGAGGAAGAGAAAAACGTTTCAGAACGACAACACAAACATCTGGAGCTGCGCGCTCGGACAGGAAGTGTGGAGCTGATGAAGACCTGATGCCCGAACAGATCCCCACGCTGACCGAGGAGTCGGCCTGGTTCTGGACGTGTCCGTGGTAGAAGCAGAACTCCTGCAGAGAAACAGGAACGCAGCAGACCAGTCACTGAAGATTAACGTTCGAAATCAAACAAACAAACAAACGTTTAGTTTTATTGAAGCTGTTTGTAGTTTGTGATGCTACAGAAAGAACAGCTGACGCAGAAGAGTTGAAAAGAAATCAAAAATAGAAACATTTGAGCTTTATGTCGTTAGTTTGTGGTTTAATATACAGTGGTCCTTCGCTACTTCGACTTCCGCGGACTCGCTCTAACGCGAGGAAAAATAAATTGTACACGACACACGACTGTCAACTTTAATGTTACTCACGTGATTGGGACGGTACTGGATACTGTACAGTAAAAAGTTTACGCAAAATAAAATTCTTCGCCATTTTGTAGTTTTTTTTCTCAATATACTATATCGCCGCTCATAAGAACTACATTTCCCAGAAGGCAACAGTGTCCTGCCCAGAAGCCTCGTTTGCTTCTGCTGAAATATGTAGAGAGAAAGTTTTGATCTAATTGGAAAAAGTTCAGCGCTTATTACAGCGACTTCGGCGCCCAGTGGATGCAGAGAGCCACCGAACCGGACCAGAACCGGAGCAGAACCGGACCTCCAGACCCATCGGTGACTCTTGAGAGCTGGTAGCCAGCCCATGAGGACTTCCGACCGGGATGCGTAACGCTGAAGGTCCAGCGTACTATCCGGAGTCCACCGGAACCTTCTTCACTTGGGTCGGATCGGAACCGACTGTTCTGCAGAGCCCGGTGAGTAAAATTTTATACAATACCATACGTTTGTTGTTAAAATTAGTAGGTTTAAGAGTTTAGAACATTGATTGTGGGCTTTGTCACTGCAGGGTAGGTCTGCAGAAACTGAACCGAGTCGGACTGGAACCGAGTCGAACCAGAACCGAGTCGGACCAGAACCGACCAGAACAGAGTTGGACCGGAATCGAGAGCCGCTGCTGTCCTGCAGAGCCCGGGGAGTCAAATTTAGTAGCAACATAAACAGTTCTGTACGTGTGTTGTTAAAATAACATGGGTTTAAGAGCTTAGAACATTGCAGGAGTGTGGGAAGAGTTTCTAAAGCCTTAAAATATATAAATACTAAAATAAATACAATGCTGCTACTTTAAAAGATTTTCACTTATTGCATGCGGGGGTTGGATCCTAACACCCGTGATAAACGAGGGACTACTCAGGAAACGGAAAAATCAGGTACATAAATATATTTTGCTTGTGTATTCAGAATATGAACAGCTTTTCTGAAAATAAAATTAAAACAAGAGTATTTTTTATAAATCCTGGTAACAAGAAGATACAGTTTTAAACGTGTTTTTTTTTTTTTATGATTTTTGTGGGAAAATAAAAATATTCATAAAAATAAGGAATGAGCTTCATAACTGTGCAGTTTAAAACTGAGATTTATTTAAAACTTTTTATTTACACACTTCAGTTTACTACAAATAACGCACACTTCTAGAAACCATGTTTTGGATTATAAACTTTGAATCACATAAAATAATCTGGAACTTCAATCCACTAATTTAATGTATTATCTGTTAGAAATAGTTTTTACATTTAGTTATTTTTTCATATTAAACTTACTTTTTTTTTTTCATTTATAGATGTGTTTGTTTGTGACTTTATATATAAGTTTGTTTGAAAGTGCATAGTGTCCTAAAATAGTTTTTAAAAGTGATATGAGTAAAATCTCACCTCAGTGGGGGACACCGTCACTCTTTCTCCATCGCCTGAATAAAACGTTTCTGTGTAGTTTTCACTGAGAAGATTCCTGTCACCCAACAGATAAAACACATTTTATTTTAATAGTTATTGTAATAAGTTTAAACTTGTTGAGGCTCTTGGGATGTGAAATATACCAGTTTTTTTCCAGATGAATGGTGTGGTTTCTCCCTTCGATGGTGAGGTCGTACTGAACTCTGTCAGGATAAATCTGCAGGGAAATGAAACAATTACTGATTAATTACTGATTAATTACTGATTAATTACTGATTAATTGGTTCATTTATAATAAAAACAGGCGTGAATGTGACTGTGTTGGCTCAGTTTCACAGGTTCCCTCTGGAGGGGTGCTCTGTGGAAAGGTCTGGAGTTCAACTCTCAGGCTCCGCCCCTTCACAGGTAAGGCGTCCTCACCTGGTTGACCCGCAGGCTCCTGGTCCGTCTGTCCTGACGTCTCTGAGGTCGAACCACCTCGTAGTTCTGCACATGAGACAGCAGGCCCGAGCTGTGCTCCAAACAAACTGCAAACAGGTGAATTTAAAACACAAAGTTCCTGTAATGTATTTATTTTATTCTTTGTAACAAAAGTTTATTTACCGTTTATTTTTAACTCCTGAGTGGCTGGACCTTTCTGTCATCTCCTAAAGTGCTTATAAACAGGAGGGTTTGGACTTCAGCTGCTTTTTGAGTCATTTTCTGGATGAAACGGTTGAGCTCAACTCACCTGGTCTGTCAGGGACAGGTGCGGCTCGTGTTTGGAGGCGTCTGCATCCATCATATTATTATTATTATTATTTTTCCAGTTTGTAATTTATTGGATTCCTTTGTGATATTGACACTTTCCACACTGACTCTGTGGTTTCCATACATTGTGGATTTATTGGGCCGCCTGTGTGGGTTTTGAAAATATCTACAGCAGATGAGCAGTGTCGAAAAGTCATACTTTTACAAAAACAATAAAAAATACATGAATTAAAAACCCGACTAAGACAAGATTTCAGCTAAGAGACTCGTTCCTGGTGCAAACATGTTGGTTTTATGGCTATGTTTGAATTTTATTGCAAATTTCAGTAAAACATTATGAACAAAATGCTACAAAATAAGTTTGTTTTTAATTGGGGTGGCTCAAAGCTGATGGTTTCAGTTTTTAATACATTTTATGTAGTTTACAGTTATAAACTCAGTGTTTACAAACTATTTTTTTGCAAACGAATATAGTTATAATAATCAAATTATAATAATTTATTAAGAAAAACAGCATATATATCACTTAAACACTAACTAGACTGATCCATGTTTGAGTTAAATTCATTTTAAGAAGTTTTAGTTAAAACGTTAACATGATTAAAGTGACATACTTTTTTTTTTTTTACAATAAATTAGCATAAAACAAGAAATGACCAACTACCTCATTAAAAGCGCTGTGTTGTGTTCCGTTAAAAGTTTTTCACGCAGTTTAAAATCATTTTTAATCCAGATAACGAAGTTTTTGTCGTTTATTTATCATCTGCTCTCCTGAACGTTTCTGCTGATCTGAGAGCAGCGGGCAGGCTGGCCCCAACAAAATAAAAGTTGTTCTTTGTGTTAAAGTTGGATAAAATCTTACCCCAGATCAGCCACAGCGACCACATGTTGTCCCCGGTCAGAAGCTCGGTGTGACCGGACTCCGCCGCTCCTCTGTCCGGTAACTAACCGGTGAATCATCGCTGAGGCCCCGCCTGGGGAGGCTGAATCCACCGCCCGACATTGATCGGAAGATAACAGAAATAAAAATAAATATATAAAAGCCGTTGGTTGAACTTCCGGTTTGACCCGTTTTAAAATAAACTACAACTCGCTTCACTTGCTCACAAATACTCCTCGTTCACTCGTATTTCAGGATATGAAAATGTTTTAAAATCCTTTGAACTGATATAAAAACACACAAATAAATAAATAAAAAAACCTGTAAAAAGGAAAGTTAAATAAAAAGAAACCGTTGGTTCACTTCCGGTATTTAATATTTCAAAATAAAAACCTTTTTCCTTATTTCACAACCAAACAGAAAAAGCAAATTTACCTCATTTATCCGAGTTAAAGCACAAATATAATCACTCTTATCTGTGATTAATACTGCAATACGATAAATATGAATATAAGGAAATAGCTAAAATTCAACTAAACGAACAGTTTGAAACACTTCCGGTGCTGAACCGTACAAAATAAAATGCAACTTGTTTCATGTACTTATAAAAACAACAAACTTTACTTTAAATTGGCTAAATCTAAAGTCTTGAATACACTTGTCTGTTTCATTTTCTAAACTAGGTCCTGCATTACATTATAGATACACAAGTCCAGAAAATTACTCAAAACAGAAACATGTTTATTTTAAAAGTATTAAATTCTAAAACTTTCCTGTACAGACTCGTCCTTTTAAAATCGTCAACACTCCTGTTCATGAAGTTGTTTGAAAGTGAAAACAGTATAAAGTTAGTTTTAAATTTCTTTGCTGTTGACATCTTTTCAAAACTGATCCGAATGACGATTTAATTTAATAAACACAAAACAAGATGCGACAATGACCCGATCATTACACAAATAAATTACAAGTGTCTAGTTTCAGCTACGATCTTTATTCATTTATGAGGTTTTGGCTCAACTTTAAAAAGCTGAACAAGTTTAAACATTTGTCTGTAATTCACAAACCAAATTACATCCTAAATATAAAACTTAACTTTTTTTTTTTTTTTAAACTTTAATGTTAAGTTTGGAGACTCTCGTTGCACAAACCACGTAGTAAAAGATCCAACATCTAAATCCATTTAGAAAGTTCTTTTAATGAGCTGCAATGAAAATACACATTTAAAAAAAACATGTTTTGACTGTACATGCATAATAATTAATGTGAAGTTTCAGAGCTGAAGCTGTGGAATGATTCTGCACACATCGAGTCATTTCACATCATAGAAAACATAATTTACACACAGACGTCGGAGCGGCTCCGTGTGACGGGGGTCATCCTGGTGTTTCTGAGTGACCCGCGGTGCAGACGGCAGGTTCTTTAATCGGTCGGTAACGGTTTAAAACGGGTCACGCTGCAGCTTTCTGGTTGCGTTCTACAGCCATCCTCTCCAGACGCTCCGTGTAGAAGCCGTTAAAGTCCAGCCTGTGGAGGCGTCGACACAAACGGATTAGTACCAGAAGGTGGACGTGGAAACAGACGAGCGCAAATGTTTAAAGATGGCTGCTGGTCTTTCCGACCTGTAGATGATGCTGATCATGCTGTGCTCGCAGTCGTTGGTGCTGTAGACGCTCAGTTTGTCCAGCAGGTCCAGAAGCAGCAGGCTGAAGTTGCTGTCGAACTTACTGATGGTGGCTTCGAAGCCGGCGTCGGACTGAGGGCCGTCTGCGTGCGCGGCTAAAAACTGAGGCGGCGCAGAGCAACAAAAATTCATCAACACAAGCAGCAGAGCCACACGGCTAACTTTAGAACTTTGTTTGAGACGCGAGGGTCGTCACCAAACCAGGTGAGAAGTTTTCCTCGTTACCTTTGTGGTCGTCTTCTTCTTCTCGGGTTCGCTCTGAGCTGGCGGTGCCTCCATCATCTCCTGCTCCTGAGAGAGACGCTCCAACCTCAGGCTCTGAGTGAACCGCTACAAATCCAGAAAATGAAAATAAAGGAACAAGTTTTACGTCTCGGACAGAGTTGGAAAAAAGTTTTTCAATTTGATTTAAGATGATCCGTTTCAAACTAAATACTGGTGGTTTTCCCTGTAGGAGCTACAGTACGATAAAAACTCTAAAGATTGTTTAAAACATAATAAAAACGATGTGAGGTGATGATTAACGGCAGAATTTTTGAACATCAAAATGTGAAACGAATGCAGTCAAACATAATTATGGAGCTTCTGAAACACATTCAGGGCTTCTTCGGACTTAAAGGTCCAGATGAAGTGGAGTCGGCTCTCTGGGGCCAAGTGGACCAAAACTAGATCCGACACAAAACTAACAGAGCTAAAAAAATAAAACAAATAGTTGGAGCTCAGACAAAACGTCCAGGAGCACAAACAAGATCATCCTCGTAGGTTGACGCAGAAACAACCGGACTTCTTCATTTTTAAAGAGAAATGCAGAGTTCCAGATTATAAACTGTGTAGAACTCGCATGCAAATTACTCACACCTCTCCCTCGTGAGGGTCTTTGTTGGTCCAGTCTGCATCAATGAAGGCACCAATTTAAGTGAAACTAATTATACAGTTAAACAATTTAAATCTGAGATATTTGACGTCCTCCATCGTCTTTGTCAAAAATCTAATTCTGTCCTCAAAAATGAAAAAAAGCGTCCCTTGTCCTGAAGACGAAGGACAACAGAGTCCTGGAGCCAGACGTTTGTGCAGCTGCTGCACGGGGTTTTGTCCTCTGGATGAAATAACTTTATTATCTGAGGTTTAAAGTTCTCTGGAATGTGTTTGGAGGAAACTCAATTTAAAATCTTGGAGCTTCAAACTTTTCAGTTTTTACTGGAGAAAGCTACTGGTATGAAAAAGTCCAGTTGTCTGATTCAGCTCATTAGGGTGACCACCAAGGTGTCGTCAACGAACCTGCATGCAGTTTGTGAACATGACGCAGACGGACATGAGTTTGGAGAAGATCCGGAGCAGCTCAGGGTTGGTCAGCATGCAGTCCTTCAGGCAGTTATCCAGGAAGCTGGTGTGGTGGCAGAGAACGTCGTCGATATTCGAAGCCTGGCGAACGAGAGCCAACGCTCATCATCTAAAACAAAAACCGCCGTCCATCTTTGAAGCTGCTCGTGTTCGAACCCTCACCGTCTTCAGGTTGTTCTCCATGACGTGCCAGGTGGGCTCCATCACCTCAAACATCATGTAGTACTGGATGTTCTGCACGAAGTTGAGCATCCGCTGGCGCAGGGCGAACGCAGCGGCAAACCTGCACACAGACCCGTTCGAAGACACGTTCCGCCCCAAGTTTATCACCGACCAACAGATCCGTGGACTCACCACTTGGCCGAGTGTAGCGAGTACTGCCTGGAGTCCTTGTTGCTGATCCACACGTTGCACAGCAGCCGCTCCACGTGTTTGCAATAAAACATGTGTCTGAAAAGCATCTGGTACCTCGTCAGCGCCTTCCTGGATCGTAAAACAAACATTAAAGCCTCAAATGTTTGACTTTTACATGGAATAAGAGTGAACTAATGTGCAGAAAAAAATGAAACTAAAAACAAAAACTAGCAAAACGCCACGTGGAAGCTAAATACAGTTAAACAGTTGCTAAACAAGAACGTAGCAAAATGATAGCCGAATGTTAAAGTAGCAAAAGGAAAGATAAAAGATGAATGTATCGAATGGTTAACCAAAAGGGTAACTAAAAGCTAAAACAGAGCTCCATTTAAAAATAGAGTAAAACAGGAGAAAAACTAACCAAATGTTACCAAGAAGGTAAAATGATTTAAACTGTTGCTAAAACTAAAACTAGAAGTAGCATAACTCCAGTTAAAAGTAGTGAAGTTCTAACTAAAAGGGTAAAAACAACAAAAACTTTTAAATGCTGGGTAAAAGCAAAACACTTGCTAAAGTAGTAAAGCGTTACCAGTAGCTAAAAACTAGAAATTAGCTAAATGCTAACTAAAAAAAGTACAAACAGGAAAATGCTAGTAAAAAGTAGCTAAAAGGCAAAAAGAAGCAGAAGACAAAAAAAGAGAGCTGGAGAACGGTGGTTTTGAAGGAATTAATGAGATTTCTACAGGAAAATATTTGTGAATGAATTTAACTATTTTAAAATGAAGTAAAAAATAAAAACTTAAGCTAAAAGTCACAGCTCGCTTCAGCTGAATGTTATGATGAACGGTTGAAACACCTGTTGATGATGAGCGACAGCGGCCACTTGACGATGTAGTCGAAGGAGAAGGCCTCCAGCCCGCTGAGCGCCACGTCCGTCGGCTCGGCGTTGATGATGGCCTTCTCCTGCTTGGTCTCGATGGCGAGGACTCGCAGCAGCTGAGTGATGACGTCATGAGGCATCAGGTCGATCTGAGGAGACGAGGAGGAAGTTGGAAAACTGCGTCTCCACTGACAAATCTTGTTCGGTTTGCGCCCACCTTCAGGTCGTCTTTGAAGGGGTCCGTGTTGGCCGTGCTCATTCTCAGAGCGAGCTCCAGCAGAGCTTCGAGTCTCGGAGGAACGATGTCGTCCACCGGCTTCTTCAGCTCCTCCTCCGTCAGGTCCATGAAGTGCACGAAGAAGTCTCCTTTGTCCATCAAAAAGTAGTGCTTGATTGACCTGACGGAGACAGCGAGGAGGAAACGGAGCAGATTAGTTCACCTGCGCCTCCTTTCATTGAATAGTTCTGCTCTAATCTGCTCACCTGAGCCGTGAGACCAGCTCCTTCTCCTCCATGAGGAAGTCCAGGAGGACCTTGCTGGCGTAGTTGTAGGCCTTCTCTATCTGCTCCACGTAGGCCCGCTCCTTCAGGGTGTACAGAACCTCCTTAGCGTCGGGACACGTCACGTCCCGGCCGCACTCCCGCACCACGTTCAGGTACTTCCCTGTAAAAGAACACGTTTAAAAACAAACAAACATGGAGTCTTTCACGTGGTGTTTGCTGTTTTTTTCAGCTGAGACGGCTGTCTAAGCTGAAGCCTATACTCTCCAAAAAGAACCTCGAGACAGTGATCCACGCCTTCATAACATCTAGGCTTGATTACTGCAATTCACTTCTGTTTGGAATCAGTCAGTCCTCCATTGCTCGTCTACAACTGGTCCAAAATGCTGCAGCCCGATTTTTAACTGGTACAGGCTATAGAGAGCACATCACGCCAGTTTTGGCCTCCCTGCACTGGCTACCCATTCACCTTCGGATCCATTTCAAAATTCTCATGTATGTTTTTAAATCACTGAACAGTTCCACCCCATCCTATCTCACTGATCTTCTGCAGCCATATGTCCCACCGCGCTCTCTGAGGTCAGCAGACCAGATGCTTCTCTCAGTCCCAGAAACCCGTCGTAAGCTCAGAGGTGACAGGGCTTTCTCTGTTGCAGGTCCACGACTGTGGAATGAGTTGCCACTGAGTGTCCAGCAGGCTCCCACACTCTCAGTCTTTAAGTCTCGCTTGAAGACCCACTTCTATTCGCTTGCCTTTAACACGGTGTGATTTGTTTTGGTCCGGTCTGTTCTCTACTCTGTTGGCCATTTTAGTTAGCTTCTGCTGCTATTTGTATCTGTATTTCTATTTTATGTTTTCCTGTCTGCTGTGCATGTTTGGTTCTTTTGTACAGCACTTTGGTTGGCCTTGTTGCTGTTTTAAGTGCTATATAAATAAATTGGTATGGTATGGTTCTTACCTGTGCTTAATATTTTGTCAGCCATTTTTTGTAGGAAGGAGGGAATCCGGTGCTGGACGATGGTGTACCGCTGGTCCCAGTACTTGTCGTTGTAGTCTTCTTGAATCTTCTCCTTCTGCAGCTCGTGCTCCTCCACCATAAACTCACTGAGCAAACGCAAAAAAAAAAAGAGCTTTTTAAACTAAAACAGTTCATGGGTCTCCTTCAAAACAAGTTTTATTGGTGAAGGTCAAACTGTCCTGATGCTGATTTTAGAAACAAATCACCGTTTGTTTTTTCTGTTTTGGATGTTCCTGTTTGACTCCGAAAACAACAAGATATGTTTTTTTTTTTTCCATTAAAAGAAAATTTGTTTAAACTACATTTAAAAAAAATCAAATATGCATAAAGTTTAAATAAAATAGGAAATACAACATCGGACAAGATGTAGAAACAAATTAGAAATGGCATTTTTAAGCATGAGCAAACTTTTTTTTTTTACATCGCCGCAAAGCTCTGAATGTTCCACACTTCTTACACGATTCAATAACTCATATTTATGTGCACATCGTGTCAACTGTATAAAAATAAAAATAATATATATAAAAAATTCAACAAACAGGTTGAGATTTGATAAGTGAAGGTAAATAAACCAACGGCCCATTTCTGTGTGGAACGAAACTAAAAGGGACATTTTGCCCGTTTGAACTGTTCTGCTGAAGGTAAACACCTGTAGGGATCCTTGATGATGCCTCTGTAGATCCACTTCTCCAGGATCTCAAAGTACGGGACGCTGGCAGCTTTAGTGAGGTACAGACAGAGCTCCTGAGCCTGGCTGTCACCCGTGTAGTTAAAGGTGCGGTCATGAAGAAGGCTGAGTGTCGATCCACCCATACAGTCCCCTTTGTCCAACGAGGAGGCTGTGATCAGACACAAGTTAGGTTTTCATTAAAAGAACCTTTTTGTTGCAGCATCTGTGTTTCTACGTGTGATAAAACAACTTTTTCATGTCTCACCAATCGACGCCAGGATCTCCATGGTCCTCATGGTGGGCTGGATATAAAACCAGAGCTTCTGCAGCGACAAAAGGCCCTGCCGCTGGAGGTGCTCCAGCTGCGTGACGAGGATCAGGTACTCCTTCATCAGAGTCCTCATCGCCGCCGTGAGAGCGTGGTTCACCTGGCCGTACTCGAAGGACGACTTCTCCTCGATGAACCTGGAAGAAAACGATCAGCAGAAACGTTAAATCTGCACAATCAGCCAAAATACTTCATCCATTGTGTGAACGCCGAGTTGGTTTTAACAGTTGTTTATTTTTCTGTTCCTTTATTGCCATCAAACTCCTTCAGCCGTTTACGTCATTCAAACATCGAAACGTTCAGCTCACTCACGACATGGATGCTGTGACGTTTGGAGCTTTTACCATGTAAGGAATGTTTTTAATTTATTTTCAAATACACACATTTAGATTGCTTCAATTCTCTTTGAAATCTGCTTCAGCACACCTGCTCTATTTTTATTTATTTTATGCTACATTTAGCTAATATTTTGACACGTTTAGGCAACGTTCAGCTTTTTGAGCTTTAACAACTCAGTTTTGGCTTCTTCAGCCGTCGTTCAGCTCTCGGCATTCCCACTGCAGTTTCACAGGAAGTGCACTAAATATTGATTTAGCTCAGATTAGTAGCAGCGAATTAGTCAACAAGAAGGATTAAGGATTAAATGATTGAAAAACTATTTATTTAAAGCACAGAATTAAATTTCAAATAAAGACTTTCGTAAACAACATGACTGCCAGCAGATACTTTGAGGAAGTAAATAATGTCCTTACCGTGTTATAGTGGAGTAATACGACGCCACTGGTAATATTCTGTTCACCAGCTCTTTGACAGACACGTCCAGCGTTGTTTCGACTATAAAAGAGCGGTTCTGCCTCCCCAGAACAGGCTGGGCCGTGATGTCTCGCCCATCCACCCCGATCAGAACAAACAGCAGGTCCTCCACCACAAACTGCTCCTGAGCCGACAGAGGCAGCGTACCTGAACACAAAACATGGAGGATTCACTGACGCGAGGCTACATGTAGCAGAGGTTAGAGTGGAGACTTCCTGTCCGCGTACCGATGGCCACAGCTGGTTCTGCTGCCGGGGCGGGGCTGGTCATGAAGTCTCCGATGAGAGCTGGACGGTCGTAGACCCAGTTAGGAAACACGGGGTTAGGCTGCGTGGAATTCTTCTTATTGTGTTTGTCCCGTAACATCTTCCGCGTGACTTCAGCGGGCTAAAGTCACATAATCAAAAGTAAATTATGCAGCATAAAAAAACTCATTACAAAATAAAGAGATTGTATTTAAGGTCCTCTGCAGACGAATTCTACTTTTCTTTTTCTCACAAGCACTGTAACAAAACTCTTTCCAAGACGCAAAGAAAAGATTAACCAGAGGCGCGTTGGAGCTGGCCGTCACGTTGCCCAGCTTCTTACGCAGCTCGTCCAGCTCCTGCATGGACATCTTTGTGCTGCTCTGAGGCACAGAGTAACTGGTGGTGGTGCTCGAGTTGGCATTCGCTGAGGACTCGGATCTTTCTTTGGCGTTCTGCTGCAGAAACTGAAGCGTCTAGAAAATTCACAAGTTGTAAAAAAAGACGTTTGCAGTGAATGAAAAACACAATGAGTTATCATGAAACAGGTGAGTGACCACCTTTTTTAAATCGCATTACCTCTTTATCCTCGCAGAGTTTGGACAGCAGATACACCAAAGGGTCGAGGTTGCGAACATTTTTGGACTTCAGCTCGTCATACTTCCTCAGGAAGTCTTCAGGCGTTTTGGAGAACTCTGCTAATTTGACCTGAACATGCACAACAATTAGAAACTGGCCACAAAAACTTCATTATTTTGTGTCTTGGTGCACTGAAGTTTTTAATGAATCACGTTTTCAGGCTGCTGCTGTGTGCCCCACCTTGGCACTGTGAGCAGACACTGTGGTGGTGACATAGGGAGTCCTGTGTTTCTGCAGTAGGTCGATGTATCCCTCTGCTCCATCACCTCCTCGCACCTGCAGGAGGCTGAGCAGCTCGTTCACGTCGTGGTGGATCCTGAACTCACTCATGGCTCAGCTGACCTGATGACAGTTTACAGAGCACACACCGAAACACGGGAGGCTCTAGTTTACACGGACATTCACTGAACGAAGCTTAGACCAAAATACACAATTAAACAACGATTTAAGCTTGTGTGCGGAGTGATGCGGAGCTAGCGGTATGCTAGCTGGCTAACTCATCCACAAGGAGTGGATGCTACATGACAGCTAGCTTACCAAAACGAGAAATACAACATAAATCAAGATGTGATAATAGAAATTAAAAATTTTAAATCATATTGCAACAGTTTAAAAAAAAAAGTGAGGTAGGAATTTTACCAGTTGGTTACATTAAATCAACAGAGCAGCTACCGAAGCTACATTCTTCTTCGTCTTCTAAATTCTTGCGCGGCGGCGCCACAGCGCCCCCTGCAGGTTCATGTAAACGTTACAAGTGGTTGTTTTTATTTACGTGGACAAACGTAACTGCTGCAACTAACTACGACTGAAAACTTAGGTACACAAAAACAAAATAAGGAAAATAGTGCAGTACGTGGTAATTTACATGTGAGATAAAAGAGATAGATATGAACTTTATCAGGTAGTGTGGCCGAGCGGTCTAAGGCGCTGGATTAAGGCTCCAGTCTCTTCGGGGGCGTGGGTTCGAATCCCATCACTGCCAGAGTAAACTTTTAGAGGCACATGAGATACAGCAAAGTAATATTCACTGTGTTGTCGGTTAAGGTGTAAAATTAAGTTTGGTGTTTGGTGAAATTCATTTACTTTTGAACAGGTCTGAATTTACTATCCGTGCAATCTTACTGTTCAATTTGAATAAATCAAAATGAATTAAATTTATTGACAAATTTGCAATTTTTACAATAGAGGCAGGGTAGAATCACGAATTTTATGTCTCTATGTATAAAAAAATAGAATCTAAAATATATATTTGTATGTGGTAATTTTAATTAATAAAATGCACATTTAATGTTTACGGTTCATTAAAATTTTACAGTATAAGTAATAAGTATAAATTTAAACTAAATATTCTACTTTGTATTTATAAAAAAAATTGGCGATGACTTCATTATTTTATAAGCGATTTATTTTGAAGCTCGATGACAGCGGAAGTAAAGAGTACAACCCGGAAGTGTTACTCTCCTCTGACTAACGTTTGAATCGACAAGAATGACCAATTTATCTTGTGAAGAAACGGTTCAACGCGGAGCTGCTTCGGTCTTCCCGCTGCTAACGGTCATATCTGTGCGCTGAACCCCGGTCCTGGAGGCGGAGGCGGCCAGCGCCCCGATGCCAGCGGAGAAAACCCCGCCGCTGTGTTTACAAGTCGGCTGCGAGAGAATTTGTTTCCCCGCAGTGTGTCGTTAACGGATCGTGCTGCCCGTTTGTGTTGTCGAGGAGGAGGACGGGGGGAAAATGGCTGAACTGCATGTTGTAGAACCGATCGGAACCGGCACCGTAGATCAGCCCGAGCACCGCGAACACGTTCGGGGCTCGGTGCGCCTGGCGTCGCCCACTCTGGTGGTTCCTCCGCGGGGCGGCGGCCAGCTCAGCCCCGGCGGCGGCAGGTCGGTGTTCGGCTTCCCGCTGAAGAGCAACCCGGGCTCACCGTCCGAACCCGCGGAGAAGCCGGGCTCGCGCTGGGTTCGGCTCAACGTCGGCGGGACCTACTTCATCACGACCAAACAGACTTTATGTAGGGACCCCAAATCCTTCCTGTTCAGACTGTGTCAGGAAGACCCGGACCTGGACTCTGACAAAGTAAGTCCTGTTTCTGAATACTTTGAAGATCCACGATCACAGCTCTGCGGAAAACCGTTACATTTACACATTAGGCTTCTGTGGATGTTTAATTTTTGTAAATATATTTGAAGAGTACCATTCTTATAAGTTTTTATTGCAAAACTGAAGTCATTTTATTTCAGGTTGGCACGCTTTTATTTTTATTTAATCAGTTTTTACATTTTGTTTACCAGCCTAAATGTCTGCATCTTAGTGCTTGCACAAATAAAAATAAATATCTAGGGCTTGAATGCTGAAGAAACTGAAACTGACAGCTGAAAGAGGCAAAACTCTAGCTAAAAGCTAAAAGTAGCAACATGCTAGCCAAAAATATCCAAGGCTATCTAGAAAATAAAAGTTTCAAAAGGCTAACTAAAAGCTAAAAGTAAGAAAAGCAAAAGGCTAGTT